TAGAATTGATGTATGATAAGGTGTACCAAAAACGGCGGCGCTCCGCGCCGCCGTTTTTGAGATATTCGCGAAAAACCACAAGGGGGGGTGTTCAAACCCCCCCCCCCAGCAGGGCGCGGGTTAAAGTAGGGTATCATCGGCTTCCTCTCGTCACAGGCAACACACTATTTTTCCACGAAGCTCTAGCTCGATCAGGGGCGAAACGGCAAGGGGGGTCAAACGGACCCCCTTATAATACGTTCGCGGCTGGAAAAACACCAATACGGACGAGGGTTAAATTACATATGCACTCAACGACCATATGCCAGCTGGGGCATGGTAACTGGTAAGGAGAACATTTGAAAAGCTGAGTCCGGCATTGTTTAGCCTAGCATACAAAACATTTGTTCGCCCTCACAATTCATGTTGAATTTTGCCCCCAAGTATGGTCCTCTAATAAGAAATATAATATCAAGAAGAGTGAAGCAGTTCAAAGAGCAGCTACCAGAAGAATTGTGGGAATGCAAGGGTTAAAGTATCCAGAACGGCTGAGTCGGCTTAAGCTTACCACCCCTAGAAGAGAGAAGACAACGGGGAGACGAGACTCACAAAATCCTCCATCAGCTCCATGAGTGTGACCTCAACCAACTATTTATCGTACAAAACCGAACAGAGTGAGATTAACTCAAATTGTACAAGCCCCACCACTAGACGTTGACGAGGGAAAGTTTTTTCTCACGAATAGACCAGGTAAATAAATGGAATTCGTTAAGCCACCACATCAAGAAGGCAGAAACATCCAAATTCCAATCTATATAAACCAAGATATGAGAAACATCAAGCAGACCGACAAGATTGGCCCAAGTGAAACCAGACTGATGCAAAAGAACATGTAATTTAAAAAAAGATGTGGGCTACAACATCAACATAGACCTCGCCGTCTTCTTCTAGAATCAAAAATAAACCTTGACTCTTGATTGATTCTTGTCCTCGCTGTGTGTTGATGTGAGCGGTGGCTATTCTGCCTTACAAAAGCGCGAATATCAATACTTTTAAAATAATGATCAAAATGCTGTAAAGTCCCACTCAAACCTCCTTAATCACCCTAAAAAACCAATGTTCCTATCTTGCGCGCCGCACACAAAGCGTATACAAGCCTGAATGTCTCATGCGCGCCGGGTTCGCTATCCCTCTTACTACACTAGCGCCACCCTCGCGCAGCGGCGAGTCTCGAGGCGAATATTCAAGCTTCCGATACGAAGATTCCGATGGTGGTTTCCTGTTGTTTCCGGTCGGCTCCTGCCCCTGCCGCGGCCACCGCGGGCGCCGCGGCGTTGTGGACGGCGTCCGCCGCTGCGGGCCGGCTTGGGGCGCGAGGAGACGCTGGTGGGCGGGGCCTGGGCTGCCGGCGGCGCGCCGTGGGACGCGGGCAGCGCCAGCGGCCGCTCCCCACCCTCGCGGGCCGGCGGGGCTCTCAGCTGGTGGGGAGGGTGAGGCGACACGGCCGCCGGCTGGCGTCCGTGGGGCTCTGCGCGCGGCGCGGGAGCGCGGTCCGTCGTCCCTGGGGCTCGGGAAGATTTCGGAATGCCGGCAGCCGTTGGGTGGCTAGAGCTGGGGCCGAATCACTAGTAGAGCTCGATGAAAACCGAGAAAAGTTCCGAGGGAAAGCAGGTTTTCTTTTGGTGAGATGGTGCCTGAGCTGGTGATCCGCTACTCGAAGTGTAGACCTGGGTGGCGGCGCTGGTGCCGGGCAGGCCACAACGGTTAGTACCCGCACTACGGCGAGCAGAACTCCCCCCTCTGTATTATGTATGTCTTTGTGTGTCTGTGTGTACCTACCTATACTGATGTGTGCACCGATCGGTTTGTGTGTCCCTATTACATGAGATCATGAACTGAGATGCTTTTACCAAAAATGCAGTCAAAGAAACTTCACGAAAAGAAAATTCAGCTTGCCTGAAACGCATTTTTTTTTAGATGACCTAGGATGACCTTGACCCTGACCCTCCATAGGGATAGCCCCCCCCCCCTCCATAGGAATTTTCGCGATAGCTGGGGAACACGCCGACGATAGAGAGAGCTGAAACTTAGCATACCTGAGCTTTGATTCAAGCCAGATCTTGTGACACCAACCGCATTTCAGGTCAAGTCAGGTCACTGACCTATGGCGTCATAAGTGAACCTTTGCACCAGGGTTGTGCTTGACTCATGAGTCGAGTCAGAGATTTGACTCAACTCTGACTCAGATGAGTCAGGTTTGAGTCGAGTCGGATAAAATGTTGAGCTGTTGAGTTGAGTCAGGGTTGAGTCAGACAAAAATATTAAGGTGTTGAGTTGAGTCAGAGTTGAGTCAGTAAAATAACTTTTGACATTGAGTTGAGTCAAAAACATTTAGGAACATGAGTCAGCTGACTCATCTTTCTAGAAACAATATATAAGCTTTTCATTCTCCCCCCGCTTAACAACTTAGGCCTGGCCCTGCTGCCGGATTTTTTTTCTTCACCCCCCCCCCCCCCGCTCAACGACTTTTTTATCTGAGTCAATTTTGAGTCAACACACTTGGCTCAACAAAAAAAATTGAGTCAAGTTTGAGTCAACACATATTTTCATTGAGCCGCTTGAGTCATGAGTCGAGTCAAGGAAAAAATCAGCTCCTTGTTTGAGTCAGAGTTGAGTCAGGACCTTCTGAAGTTGAATGATGAGTCGAGTCGGCAAATTTTTTTTAGTCGAGCACAACTCTGCTTTGCACGGTCCTCAAATATCGCAACTTCGCAACCCCATCAGTACCAGAGGAACTTTCACGGGGAAATGAAACTTACAGGACGTAGCATCGTCCAGAGGTCTCACAACTTGTATCTCAGATTTTTCCTAAACGTCACATGAGGTCAAGTCGGTCACGTGACCTCACCATTAAAGGGACCCTCCCACCTTAACGTTAGATTTGAGTTGAGATAGCCAAAATGGGGTCCCTGGCTCACAATTACCGGTTTCGGCACTCACAACATCGAGAAATGCCTTAAATCGGAAATATTGAATTTCAAAATTGCAGCATTTTGATTCAGAGGGGCTAATGCTTAGGAATACCCCTCTGAATGTGTGACGTCAGCGCAGATATCTAACGATTTTTAAATGTTTGACCAAAACGTTTTGTAGCACGCGGTGGTATATGCTATTTGCGCGCAACATCTGCCGCAAACGCCGCACTTCTAAAATAAAGTCGCTAGAAACAGCGGAGATCCCAAAAAAGTAAACAAAAGTAAAAGTATAATATCTTGAAAACCGGTGAATATTTTTCGGTGAAATTTGGTAGATATTCGTTTTCGCTCTTTCTGAACCGAGCAACATCACGTTCATGCCAATTCATAAACTTTTTTGAAGGTGGGAGGGTCCCTTTAAAGTTTTTTTATCCCATGAGTTATAATGGATAGGTCGGAAAATTGACCTCACTTTAGGTCACCGATATCGATATTCTGAGATATGCATTCCATGCATACTGTTACTCTTAACGATCGTTTAAAGTTTCGAAGCGATCATTCAGTGTGGTTATATAGCGAGCATTCTAACTTTGTTTGTGGTAAGGTCACTTGAAGTGACTTGGTGACCTGATCTTGGGCGACCTAGGTCTGAAATTTTCACAACTGTGTAGAAGAGATGCATAAATGGGTGTGCCAAAAACAGCGGCGCTCAGCGCGGGCTTACAGTCAATTGACTTCATCAAAGAGCAGTGACCTTGACCTCATGCCTGACAAATGACCTTGACATACGCCATAATCTTTAGTACAAATGCTGTTTCGCAAGTTGGCAAGTTTCTCGCCACCAACAGTTTGGAAATGCAGGCATAAATAATGGGCACTGATAAGCCGTATGTACGTACGTCGTATCGCAATGCTGCCTAACATGCTCTTGGGAAAAAGTTTACAGGTCGAAGGTCGAAGGTTTTGGTTGCAATTAACCGCATTTTAAAGGAGCTGTTGATAAAAAATTAAAAGGTCCATCCGAACCCTCCTCAGTGCAAGAGGCCGTTGCTGATATTAATGGTGTGAAGTGCTTGAGCGAGGAACATAGCGAGAATAGATACGTGAAGAATCATTGACATTTTCCTCGAAAATGTAAAAACAATGCCAAAAGTTATATTGATATTGAATACGGTGAGCTTTCGGCTACAAGCCTTCGTCAAACCAACAAAATGACACAATACTTTTGGCATTGTTTTTACATTTTCGAGGAAAAGGTCAATGATTCTTCACGTATCTATTGTCGTTGCTGATAGTCGTGGTTGGACTAACAGAGCTGAGTATAAAGGGACTATCCCACCTTTAACATGGGGATGGGGTTTGAGTTGAGATAGCCAAGTTTGCGGCGTGGTTCAGAAACCACTATCTATCTAGGTTGCAACCCCCGCGGCCTCTTGGTGTTGAAGAAATTCGTTCCCTTCATTTGAAAATGGGCCTTGTACAAGGCCCTATCTTCAACATGGAGCGACCGTTAGTGTGACGTCACCTCGTTTAGTCATTCTGATTTAAATGGGTTTGTTCGTTGAAAAATCGCTTAAAATTTGGTCTGAACTTTCCTGTGGTGCCTACAGAGTAAAAAGAATCAGCTTTATGACAGTAATGTGGCCTGGGGAAGGATGTAATTTTGGGCTGTGACGTCACATATTTGAAAGTTTGTGTTTGGAATATGGGAAGCCTAAGATGTTTAATGAAAAATAAATGCCAGAACCGTGTTCCTGGTCATCCAATCTATAAACTCGGGCACAATTTAACTGGTTTTAACAACATTTTAGAAGGTGGGATAGTCCCTTTAAGCTCATCCCTTTTTTCGGTAGCTGTTCATGCAGTTGTGTCAGTTCTTCGGAAGCCATGTAAATACGTTCACACTACAGTTGTTTAGTGATTTGTGTAATGGTGACGTGTTGATTTGCACGTAGCGTACCTATTGCGCATTTAAACTCGATTTGTGTAAATGTAGAAACGAGCTTGAGCCGTCTCTGCAGCAAATGAATGTGGTAAACATACATATTTTACTTCATTATTTATTGCATTTGAAGTAATTCAGTGGCATAGGTTGAACATAACAAAACATAACTATTGAAGCGTCTTATTATATCCAACAAAACAAACCACGCGAGTATTTGCTCTCGTGACGGAAACAAGACAACGTTCACTGACTAGGTGACGCGCAGTAGCACTCTCTTTGATAACTCTAGCACTCTCGGGTGGACAGGAGCTCAACTTCTTAGTAGGCACCATGGCCACCATATCCACCGTGTCCGGCGAATCCGCCGTGTCCGGCGCCGTAGCCGCCGTAGACCGGGACCGGCACGTAGTGGTGCACGTACTTCGGGAACAGCCACTGCGCAGGGATGAACTCGTACTCGCCGCCGCCGCCGCCGCCGCCCTTGCCCTTGTGGCCACCCTTGCCCTTGCCCTTGCCGCCGCCGCCGCCGCCGCTGTGCGATTCAATCACCACAGTGTGAGAGTGTCCGTGGCCGTAGCCCTTCTGGCCATAGCCGCCGTGGCTCACGCCGTATCCGCCGTGGCCTCCGCTCAGGCCGTAGCCGCCGTGGCCTCCGCCACCATGGCCGTAGCCGTAGCCCTGGGCGTAGCCGCCTCCGTGGCCGTAGCCGCCGTAGCCGCCGTGCTTGCCGTAGGTTCCGTACGTGCTGATGACGCGGACGTACTTCTCGCCGCCGCCGCCTCCCTTGCCCTTGTGGCCGCCGCCGCCGCCGCCACCGAAGGTAGCCAGCCTGAAGGAATCACAGATTTCGGTCAGTTGATGGAGGCAAGCATCATCAGCGGTTGAAATGGTTCTGTCTGAAGTGTGTAAGAACCGTGTATTTGCTCTATGCTTATCCGATTGCGTTTCAGTTGATCATCAACAAAGTTTCTTTTGATTCTTTTTATGTGATGAGCATGCAATCTGCAATAAAGAATATGATAATTGACTGTATTTAGTAATTATTTTGCATAAAAGGTTTACTGTTTTCTGAACTATTTGAATACTTGATCATGGAAACATCGGCGGTATTGTTACTTACGTCAGCTGCGGGGCGACGAGGAAGACGCACAGAGCTACCGTAAACTGCAATAAACGAGAGAACAAAATGGCGTTAGATGGGCACGACAGGGCAACGACTCTTCGGTGGGCTGGTTATTTATGACAAATAAGGGCCATTAGCTAAAATTAATGCTAATTAAACTCAATGAGGTGAGATAAAAATGATAGATGAACAATTTCTAGTTTGAACTTATGGTCTTGCTTTGTCATTCATTCAATATAATTGTGAAAAATTGGATCTTTCATGAGTCTTCATTTTCATTAAGCAAGCACTCTAATATTTTTTTAAGAATTATTCAGCATTACAAGAAGGAAATGAAGATGAGCAAAAGGTGAAACAGCTAATGTCTTTTAATTGGCAAAGTAAAGCTAGCTGGAGCTGGAGCTGTTACCGAGTTCATGTTGCTGCAGAAAATGATGCCCTCCTCTCGGCGTCCGGTGCTTAAATACTGTGTGAAGTTCTGGCGCGGCCGAATGTAACTGCAGTCCAGTGTGAAGTAATCGGCGCGCCGCGCGGGGTCTGCACAATCCGCCGACGGGTCCAGGCCACCCGACCGCCCGGTCACGCCCGTTACGCAAACACGCGCCGCTCTTTTCAAAATCAACCGAGGTCACTTCCACTTTCATACGAAACCGGATAACGAAGGCAGGAAAGATGTGATACAGCTACCGGAGACACCTTATCGAGCAATCGGCACCGTTCGCCACCCTGCCACCGTTTGCACGACAGCAGACCATGCATTCAGTACAGGCGGCTAGGTGTCAGATCTGTCAGCTCTTTTATTGACCAAATTATTATGTTCCTGAATGTTTTTAGCTTTATACTATTAAACATAGTGTAACCGCTGTAGCACATGATGAATCACTCGATTTGTCGTTATTAGTGTATCACGATATGCATGAACTGATTGGATACCCTATTCAGTGTTTATTTTCTTTGGACAAAACGCTAGAAACACACCTTTTCTTATTTATCAATATTTATGTACATGCCATTGAATCTGCATGCGATGGTGCCTCATATCAAATAAAGTAACACTTCAACCCACAGAGAAAAAAAATGTTTTGAAGACGGGGACATTGTCGTCAAATGCCCAGGACAAAGACCCAAGCCTTTCATTGACCTCAACTGTGAGTGAAATTTTTCTTAAGATTTTTTTTTTTCGGACAATAATTCGAACTTATATCCCTCTATTTTCTACAATGGGTTACGATTTCGTGTGCAGCCCTTGGAATGCGTAAAATATGTAAAAACATCCCAGTCCACGTTGCTCAACCCTTGTATCTATATGCGGGGAAGCGATTAGCGCTGGGCGTCTCACGGCTGGCGGCTGATTATCGCAAGCAGCATGTCTTGATGGAATCTAAATATTTGTGGTATAAAACCGGTTATTTATTGTAGCTTTATGAAACCTGTTATTGCATGATATAAGTCTGACATCATCAATAATTTCAACAGCCATTAACAACGCACAATACCTTAACGTTATGAAGCATGGAATGGAACTGGCCAAAGACTTGATAGTTGATGGGTGAACGCTAAAATGTACGAAAACATTCAGCTAAACTATACCTATTTGCGGCCAAAATTGGGAGTGAGCTTCGAACATAAGGTCATTGTTGGTCGTAAGTTTGGACGAGCTCGTGGAAAGTCAATAGGGTGCAGGTTCATTTAATTTCTTATATCTTCGCTTTGCTTCTTCTATGCGACAATTCAAAGGTGACCATGCGCACGTCCCAAAATCACAGACCAGTAGCTACTTACCTACACGCTCCGTATCAACTGGGAACGCAGGGGCAGGCAAATCTGCATTCCGGACGATTTTCCTAGTCGCTCGACATTTCTATCCGTTCGTAATTCTTATTTACCCTGCTGATGTATTCTCGGTCGTTATCGCACATACTATAAAAACGCCATCTCAGTCTGTGATCATTTACGCGTCGTCCAATCAGCGAGCCGGGGGCCTCATCAGTGCTCCTACGCCGTCTGTGGTTGGCGCTCAGCCACTCCCCTACCCTCTCTCCCTCCCCTCCCCTCCCCCGGGCGACAGACACTCGAGACGCTATTGGTGCGGAGCGCGGGAGCAGCTCGCAGGGCGGGTCGTTCACCCCAACCAACGACCGTGCAGAGCTGTCTCACGGTCGGTGGTCGGCGCCCACTGACCCGGTGACACACATTACTCAGACACCGAGGGCAATGCCTACGCGCATCGGGCGCATGCTGGTGATGTTACGTGGCGATGGTGGGGAAGAACGAGAGAAAATAATTTAATAAATGCTGTTTTCTTTTTCATTTTTCTATCCAACAAAAATTTGGCTAGGATAGATAGCTTGACAATTGCCAGTACCTTAAATGAGTTCAGACAAAAGTTCGCTGGAGTTAAAATCCGCCAATAAAGCAAGCAGCGCCGAACAGTCTGCTCAGCGTCCTTTGGCACATTGTATTCCATTAGCACCCACTTAACGACTCGCTGTCATCGTGTGTAGTGTAACCCTCCAGATCAATGGCTGGCGCTCACCATTCAACGCTGCCTGATCAATGGCCTATGTTGCTGTCGTCCCGGCTAAAAGCAGCAAATTATTTGACCGCTTGATGCGGGAGGCCCCTATTTAATTTCAAGCCTTTTGAAAATACTAATCACTCCCACACATCGTATGACCATTGTCATATCACTTTGTATCGTTTGACGAAGTGTTTACCCACTTTATTCCAACCGAAAACAAACAAAGTTAGGTTAGCACAAGCCTGGGGTATCGAAAAAGTTTCTTGCGGGATCACCGGTAGGTGCATATATTTTATCCTCACACTTCCAACAACCAACATGTAAATTACATAACAAATTATTTATAACTAGAAAACAACGCGCATAAATATCGGGTGTTCAGCCGGAACGGCATCTTTATCGAGAGACAGTGCCTGTCACCAGGAATGCGGTTAGCTTTCTGAGGCGTTAGTACACTCTCACAAAGTCTTGGTCAAAGAGCGCTCCGTCGATACCACTGGAGTGACCTCCACGTCCATAGCCAGCACGGTTTTTAGGGCGCAGCACTCCCACGAACTCGTACTTGTGATCAAGTCCGACCAGCTCCCTCCCCTTGCTCACGAAGTTGCTGACACCTTCTTGGAAGTCCTTCCCGGCAGCCTTCAGCCCTTTGAAGAAGCCCTTGTGGCCTTCGTCGCCTTCCTTTTTGATGATGACGTCAGTATAGTGAGTGACATGTCCTTGGCTCGCTGCCCCGTAGCTGTCTTGTGCATAGCCGCCGGGGTAGCTCAGGGAAGACCCCTTGGCCCCGTGTTTTTCACCACCGTAGCTTCCGGGTGCGTAACCCAAGTCGTTGAAGCCTCCCTTTCCGTAATCTCCGCTTCCATAGCCTAGAGGGCCGTAGCCTACGTCGTTATAACCTCCGTGCACGTAGCCGACGTTGTCATAGTCTCCGCTGTCATAGCCGTCAATTCCATTGATAGAGGTGACGCGAATGTAACGCCGGTCGTCATCTTCTTCTCCCTTGCTGAGTGTTCCGCTCCTGAAAAAGGGCTTCATTCAGCACCGGTTCTAGGGATGATTCAGACAGAATGCAGGGCGCATGCTACGCTATTATCTGCCATTATACGTACAGCCCACCGCTAAAGTAATGTGCGGTTTTACCAATCTCAACGGATGGCTTTGACCGACGATTTTTAAATGCGGACTAATTGAAAAGAAGATTGACGGTCGTCAATCGATAAAGTTGTAGCTGCAAGGGTGAGGATACATGTAAGCTACATTTAAAGTCTCGTTGCAGTCTGGCTGATCGTTCCTAGGCTTCAGAAGCAGAACATACCCATGACTGAAACCACACATTACTTCTGCTGTGGACTGTACCAATGCATAACTCATAAGTGATATGTACTAGATTATCCGGGAAAGATCGCAGATGCCATGGTGTTTGTTGTATGTATAGCAGGCAAAATAGCGGTCAAATAAACATGCATCACAATTTGCTATTAACAATTAGGATTTAGGCGTGGATTTTAACAGAGCGCAACTAATGCTTTCGACAATCATACAATGCACTTTATTACCTTGCGTGTCATTTTAAACTGGGGTTGCGTCGATTCAATGATACTTTTGATTTGGAAATGTGGTGTCCCAGGGATGGAACAAAGGCACATATGCAAGTAATTTCGATTAAAGTGTCGGAACCTCTTTTACTTGCTGAGCAGATAAATATGCGTTACCAATAAATACTTACGCAGAATTTATGGTTGTGAAGGCGATGGCGCCGAAAGCGAGAACAGCCGTGATCTGAAATATGCGACAAATTTGTGTCAAATATATCCGCTGATAAAGCATCTGACTAAATATTTGAACAGTAGGCGCTTACGCGAGGCAATAAAACAATAAAATATAATGATCTAAATTATAAAGCATACGCTAGTGAAAAAGCGCGACATTTTCTATAAACAAAATAAAAAAATGCAGCAGCATGCATTTATCTACATTGATTAAAAATGTAAAAATCGCTTGATATACGGTAGGGCAAAACATTTAACATATGTAGAAATTTACACCGATAAATCAAGTAAATGGCGAAGTACTTGTATGAACAGCATTATGACATATATATGCTTTTAAATATAACCTTATGTTCAATGGTTATATTTAAATATAACCAAAATCATTTTGTAATTAATTTTGGAACATTTTGCATTTCGTAATCATTGAACATAAGGTTATATTTAAAAACCGATAAATCAATTCTTACCGACTTCATGTTGCTGTTTGAAGTGACACCAACCGAAAACTGCATCGCGCTTTTATGCAGACGTAGCACCGTGGCAGTGACCCCAGAATACATGGCGATGACCGATAATACAGATCAGTAGCAGATCAAATGCCAACAATATCTGATGCCGTTCCCGGTCGCTACTATTGTATTTAGCACGGATCCTGAGCAGCGAAGGCAGTCGGCCACGACAGTTGTCTGAGATTTGTTCCTTGTTGATGAAAACTGTGCGTAAAAGTGTTAGAATCGAGACAGCGGAAGGCTCCAGTAAGTTACCGCTCCAAGTTTCTAGAAAGTGGCTGATGTGCAAGTGTGCATACGTCGTGTCAGACGTGCAAGTGAAAATGTTTAAGATTCAGCGAAATATAGGTCATTGATGTTTACTAACTAATCGATACTTTCGATAGATCAAAAACAAAAACAAAATCTATCGGTCATCACATATGGTACAATAATGTAGGCTAAAACGTGGTGCAGTCCTACCTCTTGCAACCTGCTACCGCAAGGATTACGATCAAACAGGCGTATTTCACACATATGACAAAACTTCCGGGACAAGTAGAGGAATTATTATTTACGCTAAAAATCACTCTAATTTCATTCCATGCGACATCCGAAGACGATACACAAATCATTGTGGCATATCATATATTGCAATGTATCACACAACATGCAACTGAACGAGTGGTTTGCCCCACGAGTAACAAGTGGCAGTAAGAAACAGAGCCTGCTGCTTCTATCCACTGACTTAACTCCGACTTACATCAAACTCCGATACCGTAACAAAACCATCGTCGTGCTTCATACACCACATAACAATCGGATAACATGCCTAGTACACACCACTGTAGCCTCCATGCAAGTACCCCGGCCGGAAACCTCCGTACCCGCCGTAAGGCACGCCGAAATGACCCCGGTTATAAAACTTCGGGCTCAGCACACCGATAAACTCATAGTCATGGCCGTCTCCGAACACGCCCTTGCCTTTCCCGAAGAAGTTATTGAACCCGTTAAGGATGCCATTGCCGATTCCCTTGAAGAATCCGCCTCCCTTTCCGTGAGAGTGATGTTCCTCGATGATGAGATTAGAATGGTGCCGGTTGTATCCACCGTGTCTGTATCTCTGACCGAGTCCGTATCCGTGCCCGTATCCTTGTCCGTACGACCCAAGTCCTTGCGACCCGTGTCCGTACGAGCCGTATCCGTAGTCGTCGTCGTCTCCGTATCCGCCGACTCCGTACCCGGTTTGTCCGTAGCCCACCGGTCCGTATCCGTAACCCCCGTACTGGTAGCCGCCGGGCTGGAAGCCGCTGTGCCCGAAGCCGCCCTGACTGAAGCCGCCGTGTCTGAAGCCGCGGTGACCGTAGCCGCCTGCTCCGAACTGGGTCACTCGGATGAAGGTGTTGCCGCCTTTGCCCTTGCCTTTGTGGTGGAAGGTCCCATGGCTGGAATGAATGAGAAATTGTTAGCACATATCATATTTATGTGGTACAAATGTTGCACAGGGTACATTTCCGATACTCAATGTCCAGAT